TTGCAGAATCTTTAATGACCTCTCATTTAGTCCAACAGTCTTACAAAAATGGCTTCCAACTTTTAATCATTTCTTTGTATTCATATATATATGTAAAAGTAACTTTTGTTTTTCTCAATTATCATTTCCTTATGGCTAAACTATACTATTTTCAAATATGTTTCTTTTTCCAAAATGCTAAATAGAATACTGAATAGTTGTGAATATGGGCCTTTGATTGGCTATTGATACCTAAGATTATGCTAATTTTGATTTGTTTCCACTTCCCCCCAATATGCCTAACACTTTTTATTGAGGTTGAGATGCCAGAAAAGCTAGGAGAATCATCGTATAATCCTTTCCCCACAAAATTCTCCCAATGTCCATGTTCTTTTTGCTTTATGGAATATGAAATGGGCCATACCACATAGAATAAGGGCAAATACACAAGTTGGTGATGATCCTCCTGTAGTGTCAGGTAATGTGATGATATGGTAGTCTTTTCGATTTCTGTGATTTCTTTCTTCCCATCTTCTACTTCCTCCATGTTTAGGTGACTTCCCTATTATAAAATTAAGATCTTAAACTATTAAGAATTTCCAAACTTAGAAGTTTAGGTTAGTAAGTTTAGGTTATATATTCAAGGACTGAGCAAAGAAGTAACTATTTTATCTAAATAATGGGATTTAATGTCAGAAAAAGTATGAGAAAGGAATGGTGGATGGCTCAATAAGTCCTATGATGTTAGAATGTAACTGAATTTTTCAGTATGAACTCATGAAGGTATCCAGTATTAAATTATAGTTGTTTTTTATTTGGTAGGGGAGAAAAAAAATCTTTCCTATTACTTTTTGATTTACATAAAATTTATTTAAATGTTAATACATGCTGATATATCAAAACATTGTCATTATCATAATTATCACAGTTAACACATCTATCACCTTAATATTATATTTGTGTGTGTTGAGAACATTTTACCCCATTGAGTCCACCTAACTGCCCCATGATGGAGGTATTATTATTTCCACAGGAAGAAGCAGAGGCCAGAGGTGGGCAAGTTGCCCTGGCCACACCCATCATGTGTTACAGAACTGAGATTTGACCAAGGCCGGTAGACTCCTCTTTGAGCTTTTGGTTCCTCTGCTTTTCATACCTCCAGATTAGCCTGCCTTCCTTATCCAGGCCCACCAGTATTCTCCTCCCTTTTTGGCTCTTGAGATTTTTTCAGTGACTCGAACTGAGATTTCAACTGTAGGGATCAATTTTCCTTGGCCTTGAAGGCAGCCAAGGAGATGGGATCTTTGCAGCCCCACCCCCATCATGGACCGTGGCTTCCCCTTAATTGTGCTTATTCCTTCCTTTCCACTTTGAAGATCATTTGTCTTAATAAGGAAGATAGGAACAAAAAGGCATTGAGGAGCTTGCATTCTCTCTGTCTTTCCCCAATGTCAAGCAAGCAGCAGACCTCTTCCTCCTGGTCCTTATTTGGAGCAGAACTGAAAAAGCCATTGTCGTCCTTTGTCATTTTTCAAGTCTCAGCTATTCTGGGCCTTCGCTTTCCTGATGCTCTGACAGTTCACGCCACTCTTTTGTCTCGTCCCTTTGAGCAGATAATTGGACTCCATTAATGTTTCATGTTTCCTTTAGCTGTCAGGATGCTCCCTGCTCAATAGAGGGCTTTATCCCAGCAACTCTTTCTGTTCTCCTGGTGGGTTTGCTTTTCCTCCGCTCGTTTGCCCTGTGGTTCTCCCGTGACTTCCATTCATTCGTTCATTCGTTCGTTCACTCGTTAAACGAGTGTGTCTGGTGCTTGTCAAAGCCATGAGAGGCATGGGGCCCAGGCCTAGGGCATACACAGTGATCCCTGTGTCAATTCTGTCTTAATGATCATGTAACGTGTGGATCCTTTTGCCCAAGGAAGTACAAATTCTTTTTAGGTTGTAGCAGGATTCATTTAGAAATAAATAATTCTTTTATTTAATTATGAAAGAATATCTTTAAATTTCCTCCATGTAAAAAAAAAAAAAAACCCAAAATTATCCTTTCTCTTACAATTCAATATTGTTATATTTTTTCCACCATATTGTACCTTATCTAATTTTTAAAAAATCTATAGTTAACCTGTATTAATCAGCCTCCATCCATATCAGTACATAGAAATAAATTTTTTAAAAAACAATTTTGGAAGGAGTTCTTTTTCTTACATAATGTTAAACTCTATCCCCAAAGTAAGACCTCAAGCTAGAGATTTTAAGGAAGGTTAAAAAGCCCTCTGTCATTCAGTACAGAATGTACTACTGCCTTCAGAAGCAATTTAACAAGATCTCCAAAAATCATTTTCATTAACATAGCTAATGCATACCCCACTGTGAATTAATCCCACTTCTAAGTAGTTACTCAAAAATGTTAGTTCCTCACCTGTGGGCAGGCACTATTATGCATGCATATTTGCAGTGAATCTTTGTAGCTAGAAGGAGTAAACATTTTAGGGGAGTGAAACAGTCTATCAACTATCCAGGATGCCCCTGGAATCCACAAGGGTTGGAGAGCCTGCTGCTGTCCTTTCCTCCGCCATTTCCTCTAGGAAATGTCCTATGATTGGTCGCTGTTCAACTCTAGATTCAATTCTGACCAAGTCCTCGATAACATTCTCCATGAGATAATGTTAACTTTTAGTTTCTTAACCCTCCCATTTTTGTCAATGTACATTTATTTTTTATATTTTTAGTTGTAGATGGACACTTTGTATTTTATTTATTTATTTTTATGTGGTGCCGAGGATTGAACCCAGTGCCTCACATATGCTAGGCAAGCACTCCACCACTGAACTACAGCCTCAGCCCCTTGTCTGTGTATTTTTAAATGTATTTGGTTGTCAAATAGCATAAACTAATAACTAATTCTTCCTGCTGGAGGACTCTGTGCAGTGAATGGGGACTCTTGCATCCCTGTTCTTGATGGAGGAATAGGCTGAGTCCTGTATCATAGAAGGTGGACTAGCTGTGGAGCAGATGGGGCAGTTCTCAATGTGATTCTGTGGCCCCTGTGGGAGGCCTCTCAACTTTCTGACTTACCACACCACATGGCACCTGTACACATCCCTTGGGCACAGTGACATAGACTGGTTGCTTTTCTGAAACCTGCTATTGATTTGTGACCTTCTCTATCTGGTGTTTTAGCCACCCATCATCCAGGACTAGCTATAACCATTTCTGTATGTTTAAATTCAGCTGTTCTTTGGTCCATACCACTACTACCTTCTCCCTGGGCACTTCCCTTTGTTCTCCACTGACCATTAAAATAAATTGCTTCCTCTTTGTATTCCTTTCCAACTTTTTACTTTTCTTCTAAACATACCACACTTTGTTTTATGATTTGTCAAACACATCTCTGTTCTAACAGTTTATTTCTAGGTATAGTCACACAGTTACCAAGATATATAGTGGAACTTCCACCTCAATTCAAAGTGGGACATACTTCATCCTTTTTATATGTTAATAATTTAGTTAATTCGTTCATTTGTTCCTTCCTTCCTTCCTTCCTTCCTTCCTTCCTTCCTTCCTTCCTTTCTTTTGTTGGTACTAGGGATTGAACCTAGGGATGCTTTACCACTGATCCAATCCCCAGCCTTTTTAACTGTTTTTGAGTCAGGGTCTTGCCAAGTTGCTGAGACAAGCCTTGAACTTGAGATCCTCCTGCCTCACCTTGAGATTATAGGTGTGCTCCACTGTGCCTAGCTTCTTTACAGTTTCTCACACTTTTGGAGACTGAATATCCAAGATCAAGGCCTTGGCAGTTTCAGTGTTATATGAGGGTCCACATCCTCACAGATGCCATCTTGCTGTGTTTTTTGTCTGGGAGAAGAGTTAAATGAGCTCTCTGGGGTCCGTTTTATAAGGGGGCTCCACCATCATGACCTAATCACCCCATAAGGTCCCACCTCGTCATACCTTCACCTCGGAAGTTAGGTTTCTGTTAACACATAGATTTTCAAGGAAAACAAGCATTCAGATATAGCGGGATCTCTGTCCTTCCCTTGAGCCAAACCCAATAGGGTAGGATTCAGTATATCAGGTAAGTGCCAGGAACCTGATTTCACCTATATCGCCATCCCCAACCCCTGGTGGTCCTGCCAATGGATGGGTTGACAGAGGAAGCTCTGGGTAAACCACCCCTCTGCCCCATCCTGAGTGCCCTGTCCTGGATAAACTGCATTCCCATCCAGGTCCTGGAGAGCCAGCTCCTGTCTCCTGGGCTTTTCAGTTCTGGGAGATGTGCCAGTTCTTGGAATCGCCTGGTAGGGTTCTCCTGGGATGACTTTCCACCTCCAGATGCCTCAGAATCAAGTCTTTTTTGAGCTGAATACCCTCTCCATGATTGACTTGCCTGGAAACAGAGATCTCATTTTAAAACTCTTCTCTCTGCCAAGCAGTAAGCATAACCATGCTAGGAGAATTTTTGGCCCCTGGTATATGTTCATAGACCAGGAAGTTTATTCATTTCGCCACGGATCTCTTCGTCTGAGGACATGATCTGTACTCCATATTCCCTTTAACTTCCTACCTATCACTAAACTGTACTCAAAATGCAGGGTCTTGGGACCTCCCCTCCCCATCCCAGCCCTTTTCAGCTTGAGGCATGCCATTTCAGTTGGAAGCCTATTCTTTTATTCCTACAGGATACATCCACCTCCTTTCTCCTTGTTAGTTGCCACTTAACCAGATCAGGTTTTAACTTCTTTGTAGAGGGAATTATTTTTCCAGAGGTAGTAAAAAAATGTTTCATATCCTTCTGTGCTACTTTATATTTAGCATCGGAATCCTTTTCCAGAGCTTGTTGCTTAAGGCATTACATCTGGGTGGCAGGGATTTTTGTTTTAATTTACACATAAACATTATATGTATTTATGGAGTATCATGATGTCTTGATACATATATAAGTTGTGTAATGTTCAGGTCAAGGGAAGCATCTCTCATCTGTGTCCTTAAACATGCATTTCTTTGTGGTGAAAATATTCAAAAGACATGGGACACACTATGCATTTGCATTGTCATCCTTGCACAAGGGCTGTGCTGATGGCCTCTGTATAGTTCCAATTTGTAGGTGAATCCTGTCTTTGTTAACATCTGTATTCTAGCACCTGAAACGATATTGGATATGCAGTCAGCTTTCAGTAAATATTTGTTGAAGGAGAAAAATGTTGGTCACATGAACCGATTTTAAATTTATGGAGTTAAGTTCATGGAATTATAGAGTGTTAATGTCAAATGTGATAATAAAGATTCCCCAGTGTCTCATTTACCTTTAAAACATCGACTTTTTTGAGAGCCCAGTGCCAGTGAGTGACAGGCTTTTGGACCATAAGCTGGATTTTCCCTTTTCAATTCCAGTGTTCTTGGACTAATATTTTTAGGGTTGATGGAAAATGGGAACCTTCCAGAATGACAAGTTATTTATATAGTTTCTTGTACCCAGGCTTCTGCCTGATTTATGATGTAATAGAAGAATTAGGAATTAAAATCAAAAGGTTGAGAAGAAACATTAAATTGCTTGAGAAAGATACAGTTTGTCTTTCACCCTTTTTAAATGATATTTTTTTGGGTAGATTTCTCCCCCTACCCTGTTTCTTCTAAAATACAAAGAAAAAATTGCATAGCTGAATCTGTGCTTTTAAAATGCAATTTGTAGCTCAGGTCCTTGGTCTTTACTTGGCAGGGTGAAACTTTTTGGTAGTGGAAAATTCCTTTAGTGTGTTGTGTAGGCTCTGTGGTGCAGAATTCAGTCAGTCTTAAAGGACCCAACAGAGATTTAGTAATGCCCAGGTGCTTCCTTGCAACAATGTGGCAGGATAAAATATAAGAAAGAATACTTTACAAACTTTACTAGGTGACGCTCACTGAATCTTGGATGCCAGGTCTTTAATTTTAATGAACGGAATCATTGAGTAAAATAAGTAGATTTCCTTATTTTAAAAATAGATTATTGTACAGTGCCCTAAAACGTAGATTAAAATATAAATCTCAGTGGAATCAAGGCACACAGAGATTAATCATTATCTTGCTTTTTTTTTTTTTGATTTGTTTATTTGTTTGATTTTGGTGGTGGTGGTGGTAGAGGTAGAATTGCCTAGTCACCAGGATATCTTGATTTGATTTTGAGATTTGCTCTAGACCTTAGCCTATACCAACTATATGGGGAGTCGCCCTGAGGAAACGGTTGTCTCTAAGAGTAGATAGACTTTCTGTGTTTATATAGTTCTATTTATTGAGACTCTGTTGGCACTGAGGCTTTGCATGTACCATTATAAAGTGAACACTTTGAGCAGATCCTACCTAACACAGTCCAGAGGATTGATGGAGGAAGCATGCAAAATTTGTACTAGAAATCCTTATTGTTGTTGGGATAAAGGAATACGTGTTTACTGCAACTCTACAAAGAGATGGACAGACTTGTCTTTAACAAGCCAGTCTGCTTGTCATCACCTGGAGGGGAAGCCAGTTCCAGGTGCCTTTGCACATTCTCACCTGTTGCATTGGGCCTCCTCCTTGTTGGGGTTTTTATGAGTCTTATTTTTCCTCCTGACCAGGTCCATGCCTCATCTTGTTGATTGAATATTTCTTTTTGAGAACTGCCCCTTGACATTTTCCTACAACTAAGCCTGTGTCACCACTGATCATCCAAGACCACATTGAGGCTGACTTCTGTGAGCCCAGCCCCTAAACTGGCCACCCTGAGTGACATCCATTTCTGGAGTTTTTCAGCTCCAATCATGGAGGAGGACCAGTTTGAGTAGGCATGCTGGCCCAAGAGTCAAGAAAACAGTGACGAGAGGGCAGTTCAGTGATAGGGATGAATGATCCCCACAAGGGCTGGAGTGAGAAGGGGCTGAGCCCAGGACAGACCCCTTTGCTCACCAGAAGGGGCAGTGCATAGTGCCATGGGGTGGAGACTCTCTTCATAAAGAGTGAGTGTGGCACTGTGTCACATTTAAGGTAGATTAGGAAGACAGACTTTAATTGACCATGTTTGAGGGTATTGACAAATCCAATTTTAAAATGGCTTTTTTTTACTATGGTTAATTATGATAAAACATGCCTAAAATAAAATTTGCCATCTTAACCTTCTTAAGAAGCTATACAGTTCAGTGACTTTAAGAACAGTTACCTTGTTGCACAACTACCACCAACATCCATTTGTAGAACTCTGTCTTCTTCCCCAGCTGAAACTCTGTACCCATTAAATACCAACTCCCCATTCCCCACACCTCACCACCCTGGCTTCCAGCATTGCGCTGTCTCCATGAATATGACCTCTCTTGAGACCTCATGTAAGTGGATCATAAGGTTTTTATTTACTAATTTTTGTGATGAACTTATTTCATGGAAAGAATGTCCTCAAGGTTCATCCATGTTATAGGGTGGCTAGTATCTCTTTCCTTACTAGGCTGAATAATAGTCTTTTATGTGTATATTACATATTCTTTATGCATTCATCCATTGAGGGACACCTAGGTTGTACCCATCTTTTGGTTGTTACAAGTAGTGCTGCTGTCAGCATGGTTATGCATTTTTTTTTTAAAGCTATGTCTTTAGTTTCCCTGGGTATATTCGGTTATCCTTCAGATCTTTGGGGGATTGGTTCCAAGACCCCACAGAAGCCAAAATTTTTTGGATATTCAAGTCCCTTCTGCAAAATGGTGTAGTTTTTGGATATAACCTGTGTGCATCCTCCCATATACTTCATATCATCTCTCAATAACTTGTAATAACTAGTGCAAAGTCAACACTGTAAATAGTTGTTACAGTGCTTGTTTAGGGAATAATAAGGGGGAAATCTGCCTATGTTTAATATAGGCACAGGGTTTTTGTTTTGTTTTGGTTTGGTTTATCCCCTGAATATTTTTGAGCCATGGTTGGTTGAATATGTGAATGTAGAATCCAAGGAAATGTAGGGCCACTTTCCTGCTTTTACAGTTTGTAAATGAAACAAAAAATAACTATATTGACTCTTAGGATTTTCATCTAATTATTGAAGATGTTTAACAATTAAATATTAATATACCCAAATTTTCTATTGCAATGTTTTAATAGGACATTGAGGTGTAGCTCATTTATGTTTCCTTCTCTTTTAGGATGGAATGGAAATTGTAACATAGTTGCTAATTACCAAATCTGTTTTTCATAATGAAGTTTATTAGGTCACCTTTCATCAGATTCAAATATGTTTCCCAAAATGTAGATTTTCATTTCTGTCTTGAAGCTTTTCAAGCCACTTTTATGAAATGACAAGTCAAAATGCAGAGAAACAAAGTAGCATGCAGGTTGCTTTTTTGGCTATGTGAAAAACTACAGGAAATAGAAAAGTCTTGGAAACTAAAAAGCAAAAATGGGAGCCAGGTGCGGTGGTATGCTTTTGTAATTCCAGTGACTCAGGAGGCTGAGGCAGGAGGATCTCAAGTTGTCTGCCAGCTTCAGCAATTTAGTGAGGCACTAAGCAACTTAACAAGATATAGTTTCATGGTAAAGTGTCACTGGGTTCAATCCCCTGTACCAGAAAAAAAAAAAAGTGGGACTTTTTCCCTAGTTAGGATGTTATCAAGCAATGGTAGGTGTGATTATCTTTTCAAAATATTGTTAACCAATCTTTTCCCCTCACTTAACCAAAATACTGATCTTTGACTTGGCTTGAGGGGAAATAAATGACTTTTCCTAAGGGATTCTAGATCTGAGGGAAATGTTAGCTACAGTTTAGGTCAAAATGAAATACTCTAGTAGTCTACCTGAAAAGAACTGTTAGTCTACCACCTACCAAACTCTGCATAACTGGTGTGATTCTCGCTTCACACTGTGCGAAGACCAAGGAGTTATGAAATAATTCTAGTTAGCCAGTTGGTCAAAGCATTCTGGGGTGAGCTGTTGTCCATTCTGTCCTGGAGTCATCCCTCATGCCCTTCAGGTCCCTTCCCAATTTTTCAGCCACTAGTCAAAGAGGGAGGGAGAAGAAGGATGGGAGAGAAGCTGTCCCCTGCTCTGGCTGGTCTGAGGATCACCTAACATTCTGGATTTGTTGACTAGGGGCCTACAAGGCTCCTTTACCCAACATTAACACAACCAAAATCTAGAATTCTACCAGTATGGCATCACTGTCTGTAAAATTCAACAGAAGTGCAGGTGCAGAAGTAGAATAGCCAGTGCAGAGTGTTTGATGAGGAAGTTGCTGCACGGGTGTGGATGGAGAGGTGGAGCTCCCGGGAAACATGAAAGACGCAACCTGGAACTTGCAGAGAAATGTGTCAAAACGTTGGCTTTCATGTTTCCAAAGAACCCCATGAACTCAAATACACTCAGATGCCCAAGAAGATTTTTTTAGGGCTTCATAACACAGGAGAGGGGATAATATACCTGGATTCACTCAACAACTAGACTGTTTCTAGTTTTAGCATTTGGGAATTACAAGAACACTTCCCCCTTCCATGAGAGAGAGATGATTTTAGCAACTCAATTCTGCAGTGCTGATTTTCTCCATCCATTGTTAATCCTCATATCTTCAAGGAACTAAAGATAAAGGGGTGCAGGCAGCCCTGAAGTTGGTCACCATCCTGGGGCCTTAGTTGATATCATCCCCCAAGTCAGGAGTAGAAGGAGACCCGAGGATGGGGAGCAGCTTGTCTAGAGTGGAACTGGGGTATGGAGTGAGTCCAGGGTCCTCTTGCATTGCACTGGTAGGGAGCCTGAGGCTTCTCGAGGGAACTCCCGACCACCACATGGCTCATGTGTCCAGTCAGGCAGCCGTGGACTGCCTACTCTGCAACTCATCTGCCTGGTTGTACACAAAGTTTAGATCTCAGTTGGTTGTTGATTGCTCGGAATCTAATTAGCAGTTATGGATACTTAAATAATCATCAGGGATAGTACTTTACTTGGAAGGAATGTTAGAATCTAAATGCAGTTTTAAGGGGAACAGCATATAAATTTCATGAAAGCAGAATCAGTGGTTAACATTCCTCGTATTATCTACAGATCTGTTGAGTAGGATTCTGAACCTAAAACTTGTTAGTAGATGTTCTTAGAGGAGGGTTCAGATAAAGTTCTAACGTTTTAGAAGAAAATGCTTAGCACTGGAAA